ACCGTGGGCAGGTTGCTGTTTGTTTATCTGTAAAATGTGTATAATAACCTCACAAGGTGTATTTTGAGGATCAAATGAGAAAGTATATGTAAAAGAACTTAGTGACATTTATATATATATATATATATATATATACACACACACACACACATATATGGTTCGCAGCTATAGTGAAGCACCAGCAGGAAAGCCTGGAAGGATGGAAAATTTGAAATGAGAGATTTAAAACAGGATGATCATTAGCCTAAAGTGTTCATTTGAGAATTTGCTCAAGTCTCTTTCCTCTCTTCCTGCAACTCTGTGATTTGACTTTAACAAAGTTCTGTCCTACAGGTTACGTGAGTTCTCCAACCAGTTCCATTCTTTTTGAAAGGCTGACATTTGTCTGATGGAATCAGTAGATGGTTATATTCACCTTTCCCTTTAAAGTAAAACAGTTGTTCTATGTTCCTTACACAAAATAAGTATGCATGGAGACTTTGTTTAATGACATATAACATGAGGCGCTAATCTGGAGTTCCTTATTTGATTTGGCAGTTTGGGAAGTATGTTAACACTTAGACTTGAGTAGGTTTCCTGGAAGCATATGGGTACATAGGCTTCATAGATTATTAGAGCTGGAAAGGACCGCAGATCACCCAGTCCAGCCTTCTAATTTTATATGTGAGGGAAAAGGCATGCTGGGAGGAGAGCGGGTTATTTTATTTTCACTGACTTGGTCTCTCTTCACTCAGGTGAAGTGTTAAGTTGCTGAGAAATATTCATTTTCGAGATAAAAAGTATTACCCTGAGGGCTTCAATTTTTAGAATGAAACAACAGGGAGTTTGGGGTTTCTGACTTTTTAGGAGTAAATTATCTAGGTTGAAGGTTATTCAAACCCCTTATTTCTTCTCCTGCATGTACTTGCACTTTAGCTGTATTTCACTACCCATTGTCATTTGTGGGGTAAGGGTAAAGAATATTGAAACTGAAAAGTGTGATTTGCTACTACTTGAAAGTCCTAGTGTATTAGGGAGAAAGTTGGACTTGATAGTGAAAATTAAAGCCTTAGGATCCTTTATATCTTTCCATTAGTAAGCACTATATAAATGTTAGCTATTATTATTATTATTCCTATTAATTCAGTTATCCATATTTCTCTTCTGTTCTCTTACTATATGTAATTGAGAATTTTGAGTGTGTATTAAACATTAATAAACCTCATATAATAACTATAAAGTCATAGAATATTAAAATTAGAAGAGACCTTGTATCCAATACTGTCCAGATCCCTCATTTTAGGGGTGAGGAAATTGAGACCCAGAGAGATTGTGACTTCCCTAATTTCACACAGCTAGTAAGTGCCAGAGCCAGGATTTGAATCCAGGTTTCTTTTGACTCCAAGGTTTAGGGTTCTTTCTGCTGTCCCTTAATCTTTCAAGGTCAACAAGAAACTCAAGAGTTCGAGATAGGATTCCTTCCCTCCATCCCCAGTTTATTTGGGGGGGGGTGCCTGGATATTTGGGTTACTACTAGAGATTTATAATCAAGTTGATAAAAGATGTTTTCTAAGTTAATCCCTGTGTGGGAAAGAAAATGCTGTCACCTTTGTAAAGTTCTGAATTATAAAGGACATTTCTGTTGGGTTTCTGAGTCTCCCTTGGGGTTTGTTTCATTTAGAACATTGCCTTGGGCCTTCTGCTGCATCCTGTTGGACTGACCTCCTTTTCAACCCTGTGCTGGCAGCTGCACTGCAGAACTCTCTTTTCCCTGGATCCTTCAGGGTTGTCATATGACAAACTTGAACTGTGACCCTTTTGTCTTACCCAGACGATTGGACTCTCTTTATCCTTTCTGGCCAGCAGTTCAGAGACATTTTATGGCGCACCCCCCTCACCCCTTCCTTCCCCAAACTCTGCCCCCAGTTCTTTGTCTTTTCCTTTTTTCCTCTTTCTCCTTCCCACCCTCAGTGAAATTTATTCCAAGCCATTTAGCAAACTGAGCATTTCAAATGATGGCATATTTGGGACTCTTAACCGTAACACACAATGAGACTGATAGTAGGAAAGCTTCTAAGTAGGAAACATTTGGAAATATAATTAGAACAATTATATCTAGTCTTTAGTCAAGAAAAATGACTTTTAAATGAAAATTTCAAGCTAGAAACTATACACAACTAGCCTTGCTATCAGATAAACATCGTGATCACTGCCAGTGACAAGTTTTATCAACTTTGTACCTAATGTATATTTTTAATCCTCTTTCTCTGAACTGAGATGATAGAACTATTATGTAGAAGTCTTTGGGGGGTTCTTTTAGGGCAATAATTTATAACAGTAAAGATTACATCCAAGTTTCACCCCCTCCAAGTAGTATTGATGCCAGCAGAGAAGAATGATTCACCAGGGCTGACTGCCATCCTTAGCCAAAGTTACGGAGTCTGAGCACTTGTATTTGTACAAATTGCATTCATTACCAAGGACCCTGCAGTAGTGATAAGAGACTGGCTGTATAGTATAGATTGGCTCCAAGATAAGTAGCCAGTCAATTGTGCAGCCAGCAGTAATTTTATTTTTTTTTCTCTTACAAACCTTGGTGGATTTTTCAGAATTTAGTCTGTGTGGATGTATGTCTGTATGTATGAACCATCTTAACTGAACTGTGAGAAATTTTACTATGATGATTAGTAGAATTGATTGGTAGCCCTCCAGAAAACCTGATTTGAAGGCTGAATATATTGTGCCCCCAAGACACTCTGTGGACATTCATATAATTAAGTCAACATGGATATTGTAAAGGCTTTTGTTTTTAATATATTTTTATAATTTGATAGCTTTTAAAATGACTGAAAAAACTAGAAATTTGGCTGGGGTAAACTACTCATTATGAGACTTCCACAGACCTAGTTGTTTTTTGTTTGTTTTTTTTTTTTTTTTAATTTTTTATTAGTAGGCTCCACATAATTTTACAAATATGCCTAAGGAACTGTGTGTGGTTTCTCTGCTTGGGAGTCTGTTATGTGGTAGATAAGTCCTAAAAAGTTGCCTGAAACACATCGAGAGTGACTTACTTAGGGACCATACGACTAATAATAATCAGTAAACATTTATTAAGCACCTACTATGTATCAGGCACTGTGCTAAGCACTGGAGACACAAAAAGAGGCAGAAGACAGTCCGTGCTCTTGAGGAGCTCCAAGTCTAATTGCGGGAAACAACAAACAAATATATACAAACAAGCAATATAGGAGATAAATAGGAAATAATTAAGAGAGGAAGACACTAGGATTGGGCGGTTGAAAAAGGCTTCCTGTAAAAGATGAGATTTTAGTTGGGACTTTCACAGGAAGCCAGGAGGGAGGGCATTCTAGGCTCTCTGGATAGGGGACAGCTGAGAGAAAATGCCCAGAATCAAGAGATGCAGTGGCTTATTTGTGAAACAGCCAGGAGCCCAGTGTCATTGGACCAGAATCAGTGTTGGGGAGTAAGGTGTGAGAAGACTGGCAAGGTAGGAGAGGTTTAGGTTTTGAAGGGCTTTTAATCCCAAACAGAGCAGTTTGTGTTTGCTCCAGGAGGTGATAGGAAGCCACTGGAGTTTATTTCGGGTGGTAAAGAGGCTGATATAGTAGGACCAACACTTTAGGAAAATCACTTTGGTGGCTGAATGGAGTGGGGAGGGACTCAAGGCAGACAGACCCACTAACAGTCGTCTAAACCTGAGGTGACCAGAGGGATGCTAATGTCAGAGAGAAAAGGGGGGGTATATTAGAGAGATGTTTTAAAGGTGAAATCAATAGGCCTTGGCCACAGATTGGCCATGGGGATGTGAGAAATAGTGAGGAGTGAGCCTGAAGGACAGAGGATGATGCTGCCCTCTACCGTAATAGGGAAGGTAAGAGTGGGATGGAGTGTAGGAGGAAAGATAATGAGTTCCATTTTGGGCATGTTGAGTTTAAGATGCCTGCTCCACATCCAGTTTGAGATGTCTGAAAGGCAATGGGACATGGGTATGTGGAGTGAGAGTGAAGAGGCTGATACCAGGTTATCCAATTTGAGTGACTACAAAGATAGTGGCATCTTCAACAGTTATGAGTTGCTCTTATGCACTCCTGGGGCTCTTTGGCACACCCTTTTCGCTCCTCTAGCTAAAATATTGTTTTTTTAAATGTCTTTATAGATCATAATTATAATCTTTTTAAAAATAAGTTTTTATTGTTTTTTTTAACATCACCATTATCATCTCTCTCTCCCCTTTTTTTTTTTTTTTTTTTTTTTTTTTTTTTTTGCAAGAGGCAGTTGGGGTTAAGTGACTTGCCCAGGGTCGCACAGCTAGTAAGTATCATGTGATACATTTGAACTCAGGTCCTCTTGGCTCCGGGGCCAGTGCTCTATCCACTGCAACACCTAGCTGCCTCATAGTCTTTTTTTTTTTTTTTTTTCCCTACTGACTATGTGGTGCAGCAAATGCTGAGAAGATTTCAAAGCAGAGGTTTTGTTGGGGTAGGGTTAGAGAGAAAGAAGTATATGACTTCATTTTAAACAGCAAGATAATGGAGATGGGGTCATGATTTTAAGGACTTGAAGTTTTTCTCATTTTATAGTGACCTACTCAATAGGATCATAGATTATAGAACTAGAGATGATCTAGTCTAGCCTCTTCATTTTACAAGTGAGGAAACTTGAGACCCACAGAGGTGAAATGACTTGGCCAGGGTCACCTAAATAGTACAGCACCATCACTGTTGTTTCATTGAAAAAATTTTAAACATCAAATGGAAGTGACATTTAGTTTTAGAGATTGAGACCGAATATAGAGTTTCAGGATTCTCTCTCTCTCTCTCTCTTTTGTCAACAAGCCAACAAACATTTATTAAGTCATTTTGGTGATTCACCTGGAACTTGAGTTCATTCAACACGAATTTATTAAGTACCCCCTGTGTGTGGTTAGCATAAACACTGTTGGACTGTGGTAAAGACTATTCTTTTTAACTCCTTTTCTTTCTTGATTTTATCCTCTCTAGGGTTTAAATGGTAATGCCCTTGCCTCAGGGTCATCCAGCCTGACTGTCACCAAACAATTATTTCGCCCAAGAATTACTCGAGTCTGCCTCAGGGATTTGATATTCTACATGGAACAAGAAAAAGGGATGAAATACTCTCGAGCTCTATACCATGCTCTTCTGAAGTGACAACTCCACCTTTCTATCCAGACCCTTGCTACGTACTGCCAAAGAAGACCTGATGCCATCAATGGCCATTTCTGGAAGATAATCACCATTGAGGATAACCTTTGTTTACTTTTGTGCTTTTATTAAATACCTACCTAAGCACCTGTAGGGTTTTTAATAAATAGAGTTCAGCTTTGTCTTCTGTTCCATTGGTGAGTTGTAGGTGTGCACAGAAATAGGCACCTACCTACCTATTTGTTTAACCCTTACCTGCAAGCCAAGAACTTGTCTGCTGCTACTTGCTTCATTAGCACAAACCAAGTTTGTTCTACGTGTAGTGCCTTTCCCTAATCCATATTTAATTTGGAGAGTTGGTGGGAAAGAAGGAAAGGAATATTTTGTGATGATGCTTTAGCACAAAAAATATATTTAATCCTGAGTAGTCTTGGGTCACTATGTTAATGTGCAACATACCTGGCTCAGGTGAGGTTCAAAGTTCCTTGAGTTGCCCTTAGTAGTGCTAAGCTAAAATCAGAAGCCATGTCGTACAGCTTAAAGGTGGCAGCAAGCAAACCACCAGTGACTTGGGTCGTCAAAACGGAGACAAATGGGGATTGTTTATGCCTGAAGTCACTATTCTTTGGCTTATACCACCACTGCTGTGTTTTCGAGGTGAGGGGACATCCTTGTCAAGGAAACCTTGAAATCGAAGCTGCTAAAAATACCTCATTGGGAAAGGAAAAACGCAGGGGGCATTGGAAGGAATGGCATGGGGCACTGAGTTCAAACAGAAAGAAGGGAAATGAAAATAGGGTAATAAAACAGAAAATGTACTGTGTGAGCCCAAAGGGAAAAACTGAGACTCCAAAGTAACCTGCATGTGTTCTTCTGGAGGAAAACGGGAAAAAATACACGTCACCTACGTACAAAAGAAAATATAGCCAACACTTCCACCGTATTCTCTGTCCAGAAGGTTGGTTATTTGTTTTACCCGAAGAGAGAATGGTTCTTCTAAAGCATTCTCTCTTCAGTGTCATCTTCATTCTCCTGAAATTAAAGCCTCTTGTTGCATCGGAAGACTTCTTTGGTGATGAGTGAATTATGAAGAAGAAATGAATGAACAGAGGACCTAATTTTGACTTCCATGTACTTGAAAGATGATTCCAGTATCCCAACAATGTGGCCACACTTCGGAAGGGCCTTTGCTTAGCAGTTGGCATGTATTTGAATAGCCATGGAATCCGTTTCTTCTTTGCAAAGTAAAACTCTGGTTCACCACAACTGAATGTGACTGGCTCACACTTGTAGGAAAGTAATAATTGTCACTGATTAGAGTCACATGAGGGAAAGAATGAGCTCCCTCAGAATGTGTAAAATGTGAAATGCCAGGGACTCCTAGAAAAAATAATTCCAAAAATAAAGCTCAAAGCTGTGTTACTTTTTAATCCCATTTCTCCACATTGGGACCACTGCAGCCATGTACTGCACTGTAGTGAGTTTCAAATTGGCCACCTTTTTTTTTTTTGTTTCAGCAAGTTAGTAAAGAAATGCTGTAAATTATGTATATAAACATATGTAAAAAGGCAGTACTTTGAGGAAAAAACAAATCTATATTTGCAAGATACTGACTGACCACATCTGAAAGTTGTTTTGTATAATTAAATGCTTGGCTTTACTTTTTTTGTAAAGTGTAGCATTTTGCCATATTTGTGTATTGTATCTTATTGATCAGATGTTTAAAATTATTTTAAATACGTCATTAAAAGAATTATTTTATTATAAAGAATAACATGGCAATTTTTAGTCAATTATTAATATTTGTAGAGAAATGGAACTAGCAGTCAACTATCAATATGGCGCTTAATGGCATCTTGGATTTGTGGGTATGAATATATCATAATAAGCACATTCTCTCGTGTCTATCTCAGTAATTGCCCCAAGTTTTGAGTTTTGGCTGTTGGGTTCCAGGAACCGTAGTTTTGGTCTATATGTGGGATATATCACATTTTAAGGGAAATGAGAATTTGAATGCTGCTTAACTGTAAGAGCTAATTAATACTGATTTCAACTCTTTTTGAATGTCTCAGTAATGATCACTGAGATATTAAATATTGAACTTTAGGATGAATATATTGAAAAGTAAAAGTAGTGCTAGAAACAATGTCTGGGCACAGTTGATTTTTTTAATTTTTCTGCTTTTGTACTGTGTCCTTGTTCTCTACTTACCCTGGTATGATTTCTCTTTTCTCTCCCCAGATCAACTTTTTTTTTTTTTAAAGTCCACAAGCATTTATTAAGCATCTACTATGTTCCAGTCATTTTACTAAGTACTCAGGACACAAAGAAAGACAGAAGACAGCCCTTGCTCTTAAGGAGCTCATATTCTAATTGGACTTATTTTTGAAAATGAATTATTAAAAACATTTAAAAAATCTCAAACAAGATATTGTATATATCTTATTGTATATATTTGTGTATAGCATAAACAGGTTATAATCAACCAAGGGAAGGCACTATAATTAAGGGAGGCGGGGAAAGGCTTCCTGGAGAAGGTAGGATTTTTTTTCTTTTTGGTAAGGCAATTGGGGTTAAGTGACTTGCCCAGGGTCACACAGTTAGTTAAGTGTTAAGTGTCTGAGGCTGAAATTGAACTCAGGTCCTCCTGACTCCAAGGCCAGAGCTGTATTCACTGCACCACCTAGCTGCCCCAAGAAGGTAGGATTTTAGCAAGGTCTTGAAGGATGCCACGAAAAGCAAGAGGCAAGAGATGAGGGAGGAAAGAATTCTGGCATGGGGACCATGAGTGACAACACACAAGGCTTGAGATGGAGTGTCTGGTCCAAGGAGCAGCAAAGAGGCCAGTGTCACGGGGTTACAGAGTATGGGGAGGAGCAGTAGGGTATAAGAAGACTGTAAAGGTATATGTGTACAAGGAGGTTGATTTCCGAAGGGCTTTGAATGCCACAGAGAAAATGTTATATCTGCCAGATCAAGTTTTTAAAAAAAGTGATTTGGCTTACAAGTCAACAGTTGATAGGGGAGGGGAGGTCACGAAATTTTCAGCATAAGATGGATTTAAAAAAAAGAAAACTTTTAAGCCAACTATATATGCCACAATTACAGCCTTTGACCTGGGAAATTGCTAATATGATTCCCTGTATATTTTCATAGAACATGACATGAGACCCTACTTGAATCGACTATACCCTGTGGAATCTTTCTTATGAGAACCACGAAGAATTTGACACCACATTTACATTGAATATTTTCATGCTTTACAGAGAAAAATATTGGTATATTGGATATTATTGTCTCTGTGCCCATTTGAACAGAAGTTTTGTGGAGTTTTAGCAAGGGCGACATTTTAAAATGTGCTTTTCAGCAACCAAGTATTTGTGGAAAACCAGCTCTGAGGAGACCAACTTCTTTTGTAGAGATGAAATCATGATGGTGTGCCATGTATTTAAGGGTGTGACAGACTTTTCTTTTGCAGATTTTGCTGTGCATCACTAACACTTTCACATGTCCCTGTTGCTTAACTGGAAAGGGTGGGTTTTTAAAGCATATAGACATGATATGCATTCAACATATTAGCATCTGTTTCTCAGTGATCTTAAATACGATGTTCATCAGTCACTTGATGTTTGTTTCAGCTGATCTACATCAATGCACTTCATTTCTTTGTTGAAATTCTTGCACCTACCAGTTGGGAATTGTGGTTCACAGTAGAATACTCTCAATGGAATTTTTCTTCTGAGAACCATCAAGATGTCACATTTGTGTTTATCGTTTTCATGCTTTAGGGAGAAAAATTAAGCTCTTTAGACTTCATGGCGTAATCTACTGTCCTTTTCACATTTGGAAGAGTTCCATTAAGAGAAGAGATTGTTCTTTGCTAAATGGTTGGGAAGGAGTCAGAAGACCCGAACTCGGGTCCCAGCTCTGTCACATGAGTCGTGTGGTCCTTGTCAAGTCATTTCCTAAATGTGGACTTCATGTTTCTCTTCTTTAAACTGCCGTATAGAGAAGCAGTCTTGGAGTTAGGAGGACCTCTGGAACATACTTGGTTTGTGATCATGGGCCAGTCACTTAATCTTTCAGTGGTCCTGGCAACCATCTTGTACTGTTAGACTAGTTACCAGTCCACGTGGGTGGAGGGACTGCTCACACTAAGAATCTCCTCCCCCTGCCCAACAATGAGCTCATAGATATGAAATCCATCCCCAACAAAAACTATGATCTCAAAAACCTGCCTTACAGGGCAGCTCTGAGGAAAGTACTATGCAGTCTTAAAAGCTGAAGTTTCTGCTATTACTGTAGTAACTGAAGGACATTTGCCTTTCATTTTGCCCACTGTGAACTTGATATCATTTAATGACAGCATCAGGTAGTGGGAAGTTGATACTAGACTGTCTGCATGTAGCCGGATTTTGTGGCTGCTTCTAGCTCTACGTCTAATCAGTGTGGTGGTGGTTTTGTTTTTTTAACATGTATGATTCTTTCAATTAATGGACTAGTAATGGTCTTGGTTGGTCTGGTTATTCTTCGTGTATTGTGGGGATGGGGCTTCCAGAATATAGTCAGCAATGTGGCGGCAATTCTATCCCGTACTTTTAGTAAAAATGCATGCTAGTTGAGTTTCCTACAAAATTTGGGAACATGCAAGATTCTAATATGCTTTGTGTTGTCCAAAACTTTGGCTGTGAAACTTGAGAAAATGGGCACCTGAATTATCCCTGAAAGATAAGAAGTCACTGATTGCTTAATTTAGTTGTTCAGTTTTATTATTTTCTCAGGAGAATCCAGTCTGAATTAAGTATCCACTCTACCAGAGGGATGCTATGAGGAAGGCAAGAGTTAGAGCTGACGTGGCCTAAAGGTTGAGCAGAAGGGGGAAGCCTCATTACATGAATGGATCAGTTTATTTGTGATTCTAAATTTTGCTAAGGAAAGTGCCACAATAAGAGATACTGAGGAATTTGAGGGATGTGTACATTTGAGAAGCACCTTATTTTTTCTTAGTTTTAGAGTGGGTTATCATAGAAAATCGCTTCTAAAATAGTGGAAAAGGCAAACACATAGATATAGATATCCCTAGGATCCTTTCCACCGCCACAACTCTTGACCTGCCATGATTTTCACTGTATTGATTGCCACTCCTGGATAATCCCCATTTCCAGTCCAGTTTCTTTAATCCTGTAATTGCCAGAGAAAGCCATGAAGTCAAGATTTTCCTTTTATCCCCTATCAATATAAGGTGCCCTAAAAGTTGAGGCTGTTTAAATTATTAAAGCTATTTAAGCTTAAGATTGCACTAAGACTTTTGGGATACCTTTGTAAGAAAAGTTAAAGCAAAATGCAGCCTCAATATGTTAAAGGTCATCTAAGTAGCATTGTTTGATGTAAATGCAATAATTTTGCCCAGTAATTTCAGTATAACAGGGAGTCAGATGCTTACCAAATCACTGCTCTCATAGTACATGGCCAAATGGAAGAAGGTGGCCAAATGGAAGGAGTATTCCCTATTGATGTGGCCTGCCAGGTGTTGCTGTGACATTTTGATTATTGCACCAAGTCCCAAAATGCTACAAAGTCTCTTTAATGAGATCCATAACCATTCAGGAGTTTGGTGTAACATTCTACACAGGAAAAACTAGCTAGATGAAGAATGGCTGTTGGTGAGACTTGACAAGTTGTTAGATGGACATCCCATTTAGTTCATCAACATACATATATATATATCTGGAACAGGCTTAGCAGGTAAACAATGAGCTGGACCCAAATCTGAATAGGAAAAAGAAGGCAGGCTGGATTGCATTTGGGAAATTGTGCAGGGCTTTCAGGGATTCTAACGTGCTCCCCAACCCACAAGCCCCTCTTTTTAGTGTCAATATTCTTCCATTGATTAGAGATTCATAGGACACCATAATATCTGAACCATCAAAATTATAGAATGAAAGGGATGGACATAATGATGTAAGCAGAATTTAACATAGTGTCATTGATGGCCTCTTCAGAAAATGAAAGGGATATCTACAATTGGAGGTAGTGGGCCAGTTGAGAGTAAGGTTGAAGGATAAAATGTAAAAAGAGCTAATGTTACATTGTGCTGTAAAGTTTGTAAGACGTTTTATACATATTGTCTCATTTGATCCTTGCAACAACCCTATGAGGTCAGTAATATTATCTCCATTTTGCTGATGAAGAAATTATGATTGAGAGAATTTAAGACTAGCCTTAGGTTGAAAAACTAATACCTGAAGCAGAATTTGAATTCAGAGCTTCCTGAGTCTAAGGTCAGCACTGTATCCACTGTGACACCTGACTGCTTTATATATATATTCCAGTTGATTCACCAGTAACCACAACATTCCAAAAGACTCATAGGATGGAACTCCACTTCATGAGATAGATTGTCTATGCAAGACTTGAGGAAAGATAGGGACAAGAATTCTCTGGGTTGGAAATATATATGGGATTCCAAAGCTTCACCACTGAAGGAAGTATTATGTTGATGAGGATAATAGCTAAAATTCATATAGTACTTTAAGGTTTAAAAAAATATTCTTATTTTATCCCAACAACCCTCCAAAATAGGTGTTATTATCCCCAGTTTGCAGATGAGGAAAAGAAGACTTAGAGCGATTGAGTGACTTTCCTAGG